TGACTGCAACAATATCACAGTTTTACTCCTGTTTCCCCCATCAATTCCTAGCAACTGTGGATCCGAGATTAGCATCAAAAGTCAATCCATCCTGCAAGGAATTAAAAGAACACCTACCGCAACCTGGGCGGAGTCGAGGAACTGGAGGCCAAAGTAATCTGTTTCCACCAGGTCCAAGTGGTACACAATCTGATCAAACAAATCCTGGCCTTTGGCATGTTTCTGGAAGACAATTGGGTAGATGAAAATTTAGGGTGTGACAGCTGAATAAGAAACAGGATTTTAAAAAGAACACAAAAGTCACTTTTCTCTCTCTCTTGCATACACATTTGTATCACAATACACAGTTTTTAAAAAATGTAATTATTTTTATTGTAATACAAAGTCATGATTAAATCTACGTGTCCATGATGACAAAGAAGACACCAAACAACTACTTCATAGGATGATTAGGGAACCAATGCCTTATTATGAAAACTGGTAAATAAAGCAGGGAAAAAAATCAAGCATGAATCCTGCCTTTAGCTGTACCACTGGGCAACCAAAGAGCAGACAACAGCATGTACAAAACTTAACTCAAAATGCATCAAAGACCTAAATGTAAGAGTTAAAAACAAAGAACTCAGAATGAAACATTCACGCAAATCTTCACAACCTTACATTAGGCAAGAGTTTCTTAGATAAGACACCAAAAGCAAAAGCAACAGAAGAAAAAAACAAACTGGACAACATCAAAATGTAAAACTTTCATGGTTCCAAGAACACTAAGGTATCAAGAAAGTACAAAGACAACCCAGAATGGGAGAAAATTGTACAAATTATATATATGATCAGGGGCTTCTATCCAGAATATACAAAGAATTATTACAACTCAATAATAAAAAGACAAACATCCAATTAACAATTAGGCAAAGGATATACAGATAGTTCTCCAAAGACAGACAAATGCCCAATAAGCATATGAAAAGATGCTCAACATCATTAGTCATCAGATGCAAATCAAAACCACAGATCCTTCCCACCCACTCGGAAGGCTATAATAAAAAAGACAGATCACCAATGTTGGAGAAACTGAAACCCTCTTATATTGCCGATGGGAATGTGAAATTGTGTAGCTGATTTGGGAAACAGACTGGCAGTTTCTTAAACACAGAGTTACCATTTGACCCAGATATTCGACTTCTAGGTATGTATCCAAGAAAAATGAAAACATTCTGCTCTCACGGAAACTTGTACAACATGTTCACAAAAGTGAAAAAGTGGAAGCAACCCAAATGTCTATCCACAGATGAATGGATAAACAGAATGTAGTATGTCCACACAATGAAATATTATTTCGCCATCAAAAGGAATGAAGTTCTGATCCATGCTCCAACATGGATGGGCCCTGAAAACATTATACTAAGTAAAAGAAACTGGTTACAAAGGAGCACATATCATATGAAGTGTCCAGAACAGGTAAGTCTAGAGACAGAAACTAAGATTAGTAGCTGCTTAGGATTGCAGGGTTTGTGGGGTGACAGCTAAGGTTGAGCAGGGGTTTTGGGGAAGTTAATAAAGTGCTATAAAATTGATCATGGTGATAAATGCACAACTCTACGAATATACTAAAAGCCACTGAGTTATATGCTTCAGATCGGTGGACTGTATGGTATGTGAATCTCTATACATAAACTATTAAAAATAGAGGATAGGCGGGTTTTCTTTTTAACGGTATTCCAGCAAATAAATCAAGGACTAACAGAACTGTAGTATCACAATTTTGCAACTTCTAATGGATGGCAGGCATTGGACACCAGTGGCTACTAACATGACAACAGGGGACAGAGAGCCATTACGTACCTCCTGATGACCAACATCCCACCACCCAAGATATAATCTTGCTCCCCACACTTCTCTTTCCACAGGGGGAAAAAAAATCAGGCCTGGGACTGATTCAAACACTAGGTCCAACTGCCAACTGTAGGAAACACAGAGGAATGTCCTAAACTACATGGGACTGCAATTGGCAAGACCCAGCCTGTGGGAAATTCTAGAAACTCCTCAGGACAAATGACCTACTTTCTTCAACAAACAGCATCCAGGGAAGAGAAGACATGGAGGGGAAACCTACAGATTAAAAGAGATTTAAAAGACATTGTTTTCAAAAGGCAGAACTAAACTGCAGTGTCAAGGGATGCACGCTTGGCTGATCAAACTTGGAAAGAGAGTAAAGAAGGGATTGCAGTAAAGTCAGGGTAGCTGTTGCTTCTGGTGCTGGGAGGGGATGTAACTGGGAGGGGATGTGACTGGGAGGGGGCAATGGTGGACTTCCAACTGGCTGGCAGGCTTCCAGCTCTTGACGTGGGTGGTGGTACTAAGGCGACTGTCTACCTTCTAGTAGTTTATTACGCTGTACCTTTATTTTATTCGTACATCTCTATTTGTGTTACACAAATCAATAATAACATAAAGTAAAAAAAAAAAATCAAAGCTTCATCAATGAATCATAGCCTCTCTCCTTCCTGGAAATACTCCCCTGAAGGCAACAATTCAACAAAGCAGAAGGCTCGCTGTGCCACGGTGTTCTCTATAACATTACCTACCGGAGAAATAAGAACAGAGCTCTGGGGCCCACCAACACTTCAGAATATTATTCATCCCTTACAAAAAAGAATTATGAAGATGAGACAGAAATATGGAAAATTCTTATGACAATGTTAAGTAGACAGAGTACAAAGGAACAGAAAGCTGTGATTCCAATGACATAAAAATACGGATGCACTGTACGTGGACTGCCTAATCAAAACGGAAAACTGGCAAAAGCTAGAACAGCTGTGTTAGCATGGAGAAACTGGACGGCTTTCTTCCCAAGTCTTAGCACTGGTCTTTCGGCAGTTGTCAGACAGCAGATACAATTTTTAAAAAATCATAACCTGGCACTCCTCTTTGCCAATAACAATCCATCCCCTGGGTGTACTTTTTCCAATTACCATCCAGTGCTACCTGCCCTAAGCAACACCTATTATCACGGTGCCAATGCTTCATTAGCAGGCTTCCTAGTGGGAAAGAACTAGTTGGAGTAGAGCTTTAGCAGCAGGATGTAGCAGGAAGAGCTGGGCTGGGAGGAAGCAAGAGACCGATGCCCTAGTCCCAGATGTACCACTAACTGCAACCTTAAGCAGTTCAGAATTTCCCCCAACCCACATGGCCACCCTGGACTTCTCCCGCAGCTGCCCATCTGACATGGTGCCCTGAATACACGGGGGCTGCCAAAACTCAACTGATCCCAAATCCAACCTGCTCCCCACCTGGGTCTATTCTGGTTCAGGCTTACCATCCAGGTATGTAATTTTAACAGTCCTAGAGTATGCACTGAAAAAACACAATTCTGCACATGTCAAATGAGGGAGGTCATTAGCCCAAGTTTCTGTCTAGGTCATTCTAAATTTTACTTTTCTGCTGTCTTTCTAAAATGGCTCTTAATTCAGAAGGAGCTCAAGGTGGAGGATGGGAAAAGAACCTTCCTAAGGGCAGGGAGTCTCTTCTGCCAATGCCAGACTGGCTACTCCGCCCGCAGAGCCTCACTCAGCTGGACTTGGAGGTGGCAGACAGCAGGGCCTGGTGGATAGGAAATGCCATTTTTTATTTGCCTATAAACACTTCCCCCGATTCACTTCCCCATTAAGTATGCTCTTTGGTCTCTTCTGCTGGAGGAGACAATTCCCAGTGGCCCTTTTCAGCTCTAAGAAGAATCTGGTGAAATTACGAGGGCTGCAATGAATAGAACGGTCCTTGAAATAGAAGTCCCAGGGGGTTAGGGCAGGTTGAAGACAGGAGGATCAAGACCACAGCACCTGAATCAACCATCTCTCACCTCTCCCAGCCTGCAGAGTGTCCACTCTCAAAACTGAGAAGGCTTCAGATAACTCATCTGTGCTGCCAGCCAGGACATCCTGTCCAGGGCAGCCCCTAGAAGCCCATGAGCTGTCATGTCAGGTTTACCGGCCCAAACATTCCCTCCTCCAGCAGCTTCCCCAGCTCTCCTCTCCCTGCCCTCTCCAAGGCAGTAAGTGCCCCCTTCTCTGGGTTGCCACAAGCAGGCCCATGCCTTTACTACAATCACACTTGTCACACTGCACCACAGTGCCCACATCCCTGTCTTAGTCTTACATCAGACTGAGCACTCCTAAGGGCAGAGACCAGCTATGTTCACCTGGGTACCATCCATCCTTCCCTCCATCCCCAAAGCACATGCCTGGCTGACACAAAACAAGCACTTGCTGCATGGGTGGATGGATGGATGGGTGGATGGATGGATGGATGGGTGGGTGGGTAGATGGATGGATGGATGGGTGGGTGGGTAGCTGGATGGACAGATGGATGGATGATGGATGGGGGATCTTCTGGATGGGCCATGCTAAAGCATGAACAACAGACTGACATTTTACAAGCAGCAGGCCTAAAAATGAGAACACACTCATTAAAATCTTTTCAAATTAAGTTCTCCGTAAACAAGCACCTAGGGACCGGGGCTGTACTTCCAAGGCCATTTACCTAAACACAATTTCGTGGCTATTATGTGAAGTGCTGTCTAGTGATTGCAACAGGAGATCCGTCAACGTGACAAGACTGGAAGCTGCTCCTTGTTGCCTCACTGTTAACTGGGTTTCCCCCTCTGTGATGAATCCATTCATTCATTCATTCAGCTAATATTTACCGATTGCTCACCAAATGCCGGCCACCCTTCTGGGTGCCGGAGTGCACTGGGGTCACAACGTCTGGAAGGGAGTAGCCACAGGAAGTCCTCACCAAACAAGTCCTTCTTGGCGAGCAAAGTCATCCAAAACAGCTCAAGACCCAAGCCCACAGGGAGCGATGCCACTTATCCCCCTGCCTTAAGCAGCACATGCTCAGTGCAAAACCTTACAAAGTCCAGATCACGGAACCGAAATCCACCAACGCTCTGTCTACTTCGAGACACATATGGCGAGCTGCCCCCAAACACGGCCGTCTCTAGCGAGCTCTACCCTTGAGTTCTTGTAGCCATGTTGCCTAGTTTTTCTTCCTCCCAATCTCAACACTTCACTTTTTACAAGGACCAGTGATCGGTGGTTTTGAGTCAGTACGTATCTCTATAGCAGCTCCTTCTTATCTGACAGGAGCTAAAAATAACCAAGCTCATTAAAATCATGTGTAAGGTAAGAGTATAGAGTTGCCAGCTAAAGACTGGGTCAGGCAGC